TTAGTCTTTCAAATTTAAGACAATATTTTCGATATTATTTCTTCTGCCGCTGCAACGCCCCGGGTATCAGCTAGTATTTAATAAGAAAACATAAGCATCTTATGTAGTTCGCGGAGTCAAGTGAACTTGACTCCGCGTACTAAATAAGACTACAAACAACAGACCGATTTCCCTTATGAGCCGCGTCTACGTGTTGTTTTTGAGAGTCATTACGAACCGTCTCGCACGCAGACTTAACAACTTCCAGCCTCCCAAACAAGCCAGTTTCCGAAAGGACTTTAATACCATAGACCACATACCCTTCGGCAAATTGTATAGAAGACCGAAGAGTACAATCTTCCACTATGCCTTGCGTATGTGGACTATGAGAAAGCCTTTGGTTCCGTCGTTTGGGCGGTGCTACAGTCCTTTCAGCGGTGGCATGTTGACTGTCGATATATCTAAGTGCTGAAGTGTTTGTACAGTAGGGCTACGATGGCTATCCGAGTACAGAATCAGAGTTCGAAACCTATCCAACTGCAGAGAGGTGTAAGACAGGGTGACGTTATATTCCCGAAACTCTTCACCGCTGCATTGGAAGACGTTTTCCAGCTACTGGACTGGAAAGGATATGGTATCAACATAAGAGGCGAGTACATCATCACTCACCTTTGATTTGCCGACGATATAGTCCTTATGGCAGAGTCTAAGCACTATGCTCAATTACCTCAATGGTGTCTCCCAACGGATAGGACATGGACAAGATGAACATGGAAAAAACAAAGATCATGTTTAATGTACATGTCACACATATGCAGGTAGTTGTTGGGAGCACTAAGCTCGAAGTTGTTGATGAGTTTGTTCACTTGGGACAAATAGTTCGACTAGGTAAGTCCAACTTCGATCGAGAGGTCAATCGACGGATTCAACTCAGCTGGGCAGCGTTCGGGAAATTATGACACATCTTCTCGTCAAGTATACCTCAAAAGCTGAAAACAAGATTGTACAACAGTGCTTGTTGCCAGTGATAACTTATGGATCTGAGACGTGGTCCTTCACTTTTGGCTGTGTGAGGACGCTCAAGGTCGCTCAGTGAGCTATGGAGAGAGCTATGCTCGGGGTTTTTCTACGCGCTAAGCTTATAAATGAGGATATCCGCAGTAGAACAAGAGTGACCGACATAGCTCAACGGATTGGTAAGCTGAAGTGGCAATAGGTCGGCCATATAGCTTGAAGAACAGACAACCGTTGTGGAAAGGAGATTCTCGAATTGCAGCCTCGTACCGGTAGGCGAATTGTAGGGCGTCCTCCCACTAGATAATAATAATAATAATAATATTGATAATAATCAGCACTTATATTTAAAAAGATAGTTTGCCTTCAATGTAGATTTAATATTACCTGTGGTTAACTGTAATAGGTTGACTTTAAAAGGAGATGGACTTCGTTCCATACAAGCTTGGGCCCGACTTGAACAAATTTCAAATATATCTTATTTTTAAGATTTAATTATTTGTAACTCATGAAAAAATTCATATTTTGGTAGGTCCTAGGGTTTTGTTTTTAGTTTATTTTATTATTTGCAGGTTATGTAGTAAAATCACTCGTTCTTGGGATAAGTTGTTCCAATAAATTGAAAAGAACACAAAAGGATGCCGTTTTTTAGTTATTATTAAATTAAATAAATTACAACTCAAACGTTTCTAATTGTTTAATTATTTTCTGCAATTATTAATAAAATGTCATTTAGTAAAGCAGCCTGAGAGGAATAGAACAGACAATGTACACCACATTGTCTGTTCTATTACTCTCAAACCCCAAGTAACACATTATTGTCATTATGTGGGCGCAACATCCTACTGTCCTGTAAATCGAAAGAAAAGCCAAGGGTCAAGTTAAATTAATTCAAGAAAATAAAAAAACGAAATATATACACAAACACAACCACAACGCCAAATGAGCATGACAAGTTTAAACTTAAGTCTCCTTCGAAACAGGCAATTATCAACGACCATACAGCCTATTCAATCGTGTCCGATATTATTCAAATATTTTGTTTAGTAACGTAGCCTATTCAATCGATGTTTTAAATAGATTTATTTTACTTTTATGCAGTATTGATCTCTACAGATTCGCCTCAATGTTTCAATATTATGAGTTTTATTCTTGATACTGAAGGCTATTTATTACAAAAAATATCCTTCACTATCTAATGCCATAGACAAAATACATAAAAATATTTGAAAACGTTTTGTTTTTGCTATGGTAAAAGCATTAACTTTCGTTTTTCAGTTTTAAAAAATGCTTTTATGCTTGTCCCATATATTACAGAAATAAAAATCATTTAATTATGCTTATAATTTATCTTTATATTATCTACATATTTTTGTATAATTGTTACAAACGATGTGAAGCACCCAATTTCATACATCTCCTTTAATTATTATTTTTTTATATTTAAGACGATAATTACTTTTCAAAATATTATTCATTTGTTTCTTTGTGTTCTGAAATAATGCTTTATTCATGGGAAACTCGTGTCATTTTTAATATGAATTTTTTACGTGGAAACAATGCATCATTATACAATATGAATGCATAATTATACGGCATATATATACAAGACTATTAACAAAGTTTTGAAAAATCTTGTACCAAGAACAGCGCTGTTCAATAAATTTTACCCACACGTCTTTATATATGAAATTACCGATTAATATGGGAGAATTTAAATAAGAAAACGCTACAAAACTTATTCTAACAGTATGATTAAATTTTTGATAAGTAATTAATACTTTGCCCAAACCCCAAATATTTTTATTTTTATTATTCTTATTGACTTTAAAATTATTAAAGTATTTTTTTTTCATAAAAATTAATATTATGGATCAAAACCATATGTGTAATATATATCGATAGTGAATCAACTCGGCGACTAGACGGAGAAACGATGGGGCGCGGTATGAAGGAGAGCGGAGTCCCCTCCTGGTCTGTGACGTCTGCGATAGTACCGGTCAGCTTTGCTTGCGTACCCGTCTAGAAGTGTCACGTACACGGAATCAGTTGCACACTTTTGGTGTTCACCCAGAAACATGATATTACTCGATATTATTTTGAAATATTGGGGAAGATTGTATGACGCTAAGTTAAATTGAATTCTAATAACCACCTGATTGCTTAAATCACGACTATTAATTGAGTTATATGTTAGGATGAGAATTTATTATATCATTAAATTCAACGAAAGACAATTAAAAAACTCAATTATAAATTTCGTAAATATTTGTCGGTTGCACATTCGTAACCAGACGGTTGAATAAACAGAACTAACGTATAATTTTAACCTGTTTTATTTATTGTATTGTAACCCCTATCAAATATTTTAATAGCTGAGATACTGCAATATAGGTAAAATATAGTAGATAAAATTAGGTAGATACCTACCAGCACAAGCCTTTGTTTCCATTACGATGAATCAGGTGAAGCTAGATTTATAAAGTAGTAATTAGTTTATCTTTGTATATAAAGATTAATTATTACGAGGAATACTGATAAAATATAATGTTCTGATATTATTATTTAAGGAAATGTTTTTGACAACCCTTGCATATTTTTAGCGACTTGACTTTGAGACAGCCTTGCATTTTGTAGGTATTTTGCGGTATAACAAAGGAGTTGACCCGTTATTAGTATTTATTACGCATACGTCAAATCTTGAAATCCCGAAAAATATTGTTATAATAAGAACAATAGATTAGTCTTTGATCAGATACGAAGTTTTCAAAACCCATAAACTAGTACTAGGGCGTGATTTTCGTCTGGTTGCGTATTAACGAATAACAATTAGCTTAAAATAAAAACTAAACTAACTAAAAGGAATAATTAACAGAGATCAAGAGTTCGATTTCGGTCAAAGTCAGACGTTATAAAATTTCGATGTAAGCACAAATCTTTTTTTCACTCTAACGAAATTCTATAAAAAGTAAACTTGTAAACTTATATAGCTATGTTATGGTTGTAACACGAATGGTTTGGCTCGACCGGAGAAGGGCCACGCCCTTACAGAATACGAAACCCAGTAGCTTAATGGTGCTGCGTTCCATACGTTGGGTGTAAAAATCCAGAAAACCCTTTTTACTGGCAACGAGGCATTCCATCTTAGACCTTTGGGATAACAAAGATTGAATATCAATCAAGGGAGTTGGTTGTGTTTATGGGGCATTGCATTCCTTTACCATCAGGTGGACTGTGTAATCTTTTGACACTCTAATAAAAAAGATGAATGAATAAAATATTTTCATCTAACGTGTTAAACATCCTTCTCTTAAGGTGACGATAAAATAAAAGCGTACTCGATCGTAAAGTCTTAGATCTGTATTTCGTCCTTACTTGTCTAAACTTTTAAATATTAATTTAAAAAAATAGTAATGCTATTAACATTGTTAATAAATACTTCCCTAGTAAGTGAGCCTAAAATCCTAGGAGTGGTTCACGACAGCAGTCGAATGGCGGATTGATCCCACTTCGATCAGATTTGCTTCCGATTACTTATTGATGAATATTGGCGTTATAAAAAACATTTACTAGCAAGCTAGCTAACATTATATCGAAAGTTAATGGCTGTATCTAAAAGTTGTATAAATTTTGCATAGGAATATAATTAGTAGAATCAGGGGTTACTTGGTGGAAATCCATTATCTCTTTATATAGTGATATAGGTTTTATTGTATGTTTATTAGGGTCAAATTTTGCAACTGAATTTTAAAGCAGTTATCCGCAACCGATTGAGCTGAAATTTTGCATGCATGTTTAAACAAAGCAAACAATGCCTTTCTACTCAATATCTTTTTTTAACTGGAACATAGAAATGAGTTCACTGCTGCTTGGAGATAGAAATGAGCATGAGGGGAGTATCAAGCTACTAAAACTCTTAGGCAGAAAAGCAGGCCACCTAGAATGTATTAAAAAAAAGATTTTTATGTTTTACAATCTTCTGATTTTAATTTTAATCTCTTTTATAGACGACGAAATTGACAGTCTACCAATGATGGCCACGCTAGCTCCAGTTCTCATGATATTAGCTACGTATTTGATATTTGTATTAAAGATTGGACCAGCCCTGATGACTAAACGCAAGCCTTTCAAGCTGACCACAACGTTACTACTATACAATGGAATACAAGTCGTTCTGTCCTTGTATTTAGTACAAAGGGTAAGTAATATACAGATATGTAATATAAAGTTAGCAGTTCCCTTTCTGTTAATCTATGATTGTGCTATCATTTTATACGTGGTAGAGCCATGCTGCAGCTATATTATGGTTGTAGCACGAATGGGTCGGCTCGAACGGGGAAGGACGACGCTCTCACAGAATACCAGCGTCAAATAGCAGCTTAACGCTGCTGTGTTTCGTATGGTGAGTGTAGAGAACCGGAGACCCTTTTTACTGGAAACGAGGCATTCCAACTTAGTCCTCACGGGTGACAACGCATCTGCATTTACATTCGTAATCGAAGACAGATGTGGATGTCTATGGACCACAGCAACCACTTATTATCAGGTGGACTGTATGCTCGTTTGTCACCATTATCCTATAAAAAAAATCTAGAGCTATGATTTTGACCTTTAGTATTTATAATCTTAATATCGGATAATTGTGTTATATTATTATAATCTAATATTATGTAATAATAATAATTCCCTTCAGAATTTTGGTCACGGCGCCTAGTTTCAACGGAGACTAGACATTTGCGCAGGACAGGATTATAGTGCTCGGGTATAGGCGCAAGCACAGGTGCAATCTCTATTTCCTCACTTTTATAGTCCATTGGCACTTTTTTTCTGGAATGAATTGTCCTTCACGACTGGAGAGAGATCGGGCGCGGACCGTAACGGCTTTACGTAATTTCCGAGGCACAGTGAAACAACACCACCAACTTTCTGACCCCAGGCAGATTCTGCCTGGGGTCTGAAGTTTATTTGCGACGTCATGTTTGCGATAGGTGCCATTAGTGTGAAAAGAGAGTTGGGTATTTCTCGTTCAAAGGTTATTAAAGTTAAAAACATCAACCATTAAATGAGGATATGTAGACCGTATTCTTGCCTGCAGTATTATACCGTAAGAATGGGGTTGTATAAGTTTTAATTTTAGGTTTTTATCCCTATAAGTATTGTATATAATATGTATCGTTAATAAAGATACCACTTTATAAAAACATCCCTGATATCCGATTCCGATTTTTTAAAAGATTTTTCTCTGATCTTTGGATGTTCACTTAAACTCTCATAATTTTCAATCGAAGAAAAGCCTCTATTATGTCATAATGTCCTCCAGACTGAATTTCGGTCACGGCTCTACGGAGACTAGCCATCAGGACAGGCTTGGAGTATACGAATTTATGCCCAAGCACATGTCAATTCTCAACTCGTATTCCTTCAATTTTATTAGTTCGATGAGATAACTTTACACGACCAGAGCGATCAGGTGCAGATGCAACGGACTTTACGTATTTGAGTAAATGAAATACCGCCAATATTAACTCCGGGCTGCTAGTGAGAATTTCTTGATAGAAAAACCCGGTCACCAATTTTGGCCCGACGTAGGATTCGAATTCGAGATCGCATGATGAACATTCGCGCTTACTGTACCAGTCAAAAGTTACTATAATACTACACGCCAACAAGTACTTGGTCAGTACGCAGTTGTCATTTGAATACCAAATTTACGTATACATCCCATAGTCAATTTGACCGTGAAGCTTTTGTACACGTCAAACAACAATTTGTAAAGTCACATATTACAAACCCACTTGACTTTAGTGTCGCGCAAAAACAATTAAATTTATGTGCATACATTTTTTTATTTGCATTTTGACCAACCGCGTGTACTTCGTGTCCGTTGTATGTATAACAGTCAGTGCACATCTTGAGAACTTCACTTGCGTAATTGACGAATTATAGGTCGTATGATGGCGTAAGATGAAGCAGTAGGAGCGGTGACACCATTTCAGCTACCTTGGTTGGGTTTCTTATTTGTTTGATAATTAGTTTGTGCAAAGCAGCTAAATCTTTCAAATGTGTCTTAATCAAAATTCAAAAGCAAACTTTACAAGAGTGTTTTACATGTAGTAGGGCCATGCTACGGCTATGTTATGGTTGTATTAATAAGTCGGCCCGATCAGGGAAGGACCACGCCCTCACAGAATACCTTAATGCTGCTAAGTTAAGTATGGTGAGTATAGAGAACTGTAGACACTTTTTACTATAAATGAGGAATTTTATATTAGTCCCATTTTCCCACCAACCAAGCGTTCATACCAAAGTTACAAAATATCCGTCCAGGTTTCCAAACCTGAAGTTCAGGTTTTGAAACCTGGAAATTCGTGTTTTGACACGCACAAATTGCTTGTTTTGAGTCTGGTTGTTTTTAGATTAAGTATATATATTTAATTTATATTTGGGTTAATATCCTAGTCCACCTACCTATATCGCTATGATCACTTCATAAAGAGTATCTATTTGATAGACTAAATAGTACTATAATATTATATGGAAAAATCGAAATAGGTCAGCACATAATTAACATTAATTAAGATATGTTGTTTCAGTATTTCCGAATTTTGCTGGACATGGGTTTGACACCGAAGAAGTGCTTCATTCAAGACACTAAATATCGTGACCAGGTACAAATTTCTAATTAATTATTCTATTAACTTATCCAATTACTTAGTTTATTATAAGTCAGTGCCAGATTACATCCCACTTGGTGATAAGTAATGATTGATTGTAACCCTAAGTAGTAAATCGTTATGCTAGCGTAATAAAAGCCGGTTCACCTTGAATATTTATATAAATTAGTCGAAAAGAAAGATAGATTATAAATAAGAATAACCCTAGTACTTTATATTAATTAGTTTGGATGACAACCGATCATACAGACCTACCTATTGGTGTAGAGATAACTGTGGCCCATAGATATAAATGTCTGTCATTGAATAAGAATGGGAACAGACACATAATATGCTTTGTCACCTTAATGTATCAAGACCCAATTCCTGTCAAAGTAAAATTGTAACTTTCGTTCACAAATCTTGACGCACTAACCTTGATCACCAATCTTTTATCTGGCACATGTGCAGTAAATACAAACAGCATATTCAATGGGCTTAATTTATATTCGTTTCCTTTAAGTCCTTATTGAAAGGTTTAGATAACGTAATATTTTCAGTTAATGTTTAGTCGTTCCTTTTTCTTTTTTTTGTGTTAATTTAGTATTAATGTGTTTTCATTTGTAGTTATGTAAAATTTTCGATATATTAATTACTGTTGTGCTCATGTTGTACTCACCTATAATTGGAGTGATGAATTTTATTTCGTATTTGTATTATTTTGTATCGTTTCTGTTGGTGTCCCATTTCATAATAAATAAATAAACAATAAATGAACCGAACAATATACTATCGGTGTAAAAGAATCCACACGTTTTAACCAAAAAAATATGTATAGTTTATAAAGTATTTTGTAAACAAAAATAACGAAATAACTTTATAAATGTTTTTATTGCAGATATTACTTGGAATATGGCTATACTTCGCTGCAAAAGTTACAGAACTTCTCGACACAGTTTTCTTCGTACTAAGGAAGAAGGACAACCAAATCTCGTTCCTACATTTGTATCATCATTCTATCATGATGATTGGTACATGGACTATTTTGAAGTATTGGCCGTCACACACACTTATTTTCATCGGATTTCTTAATTCTCTCGTTCATGTCTTCATGTATACATATTACGGGCTATCAGCATTGGGGCCAAATGTTGCTAAGTACTTATTTTGGAAAAAACATATGACTACATTTCAACTGGTGAGTAAATGTTACAAATGATTTTTCGTACAATTATATTAACTAAATTACACAATCATTTGGATATTTTGTTAGCAAATTGCCAAACTAATGCTTACTCTACTATAATTGATTTTAATATCACAAATATAAGAATGACCTTTATGTAGGTAACCAATACACCTTGATCATATTACAGCGGAATTTGTTGGTTAAATATTAAATTAATAAAGATTTACAGTAAAGCGGGTATATGTATCATAACTAATGGATGTTCATCAACTGATACTATCGCAAGCGTTTTTAATCATAGTGTTTTATGTGGTGGAGTCACGTTGCAGCTCAAATTATGGTTGTAGCACAAATGGGTCGGCTTATTAAGGGTAAGACCACAATCGCACAGAATACCAGCGTAAAATAATTATTAATTCTGCTGTGTATCGTATGTTTAGTGTAGGGAACCGAAGCCCCTTTTTACTAAAAACGTGATTTCTATCTTAGTCCTCAGGGGTGACAACTAATCTGCATTTTGATTCTTAATTGAGGATAAACGTAGATAGATCTATACACTTACCAATCAGATGGACTGTGTGCTCGTTTGCCAGCTTAATTCTTTAAAAACAAATAATAATACAAGTATGCCTATCACGTAGTAGCGTCGTAAATGAATCTACCACGTCATATACACATCTCGTGGGCAACAGAGGGAAATAAACCGGGAGATTGCATCATAAGGGTGACATGAAAGCATTATAAAATAACTTAGAATAATTAAAAAACTGCGGTTGCCAACCCGACTGCCAAGCGTGGCATCCATGGCTAATACAATTATGAGGTAATCTATGGGGGAGGCCTATATTCAGAAAAGGGCTTCGGATAGGCTGTTTTGAATGATTGAATGAATAACTACCAGAGTAAGAACACTACCAGGATAAATAATAGAATCAGGCGTTACTTTGCGGAAATCCATTATATTAAAGTTGGTAAAAATCGTACATTATCAACACGATAAAATGACGTGTCTTACCTAGTTTAAAGAGCATCTCCCGCCCTCCCTCACTTGCGTGCACTAACCCCGTCACCACTACTCCCAACACCAGTACACTAGTACACTAGGAAAGACACACCACTAACGACAATACAACACGTGTTTCGGGACTACACAAGGCATCTTCAAGTGAAGTAAACTCTGCGGCGGCTGACAGCTAAGTGAGCGGCGGAGCTACAACAACTGCTATTTATACAGCCCGTTGACGCAACCGCTCCCTACTTAAGTAGCAAAAGATTGCATTATGTGATAAAACATGCGACCAATCACCGCCTGACACACGTTGCCGCTTGTAAAATTAAAAACAAACCGCCGCGAACGCTCGCTTACTCGCCAACCACGAATTAATCGCCGATCAGCGTGAAGGTGACAAGCGACCATATTGCAAGGTTGTCTGTTATTAGAGAGTAGGCTTAAATATATTTAAGAAAGGTGAGTTGGAAACATTTGTTTGTTTATTCTGCAGTGCAACGTTACTTTTAATTTTTTTTTAATATCTCTAACTATTCCAGTACACATAGTCGCAGCCCTTTATTACACCTATGTAGGATTTTGAAGGACTGGTATTTGGCTAAGTTGTGTACAGTGTCCAAAAGATGTTTAGCAAAATGGAATTTATTGGGATTGCAATTCCTGTACGCTGCTAAATGCTCTTTAGAACATGTTTCGAACATGCGACCAGTCTGACCCACGTAAATGGCGTGGCATTCGTCACAAACAAGTTTGTACACACCCGACTTTTGACATATATCCTAACTTATCCTAACTTAACTATTATATAACTAACTTATCTTCCTTATTACAAATATTCCTAAGAGAATTGTTTGTTTTAAATGCCACATAAACACCGCTTTGTCGAAAGAATTAGCTACTTTTTCAGATATGGGCCTAAGTAGGTGAAACTGCTCACATATTGACGAACACTTTGAGGTTGAACCGCGTACAGAAAGTTGCGAACAACATGCTTTTGTTTCTTTTTAATTAAAATTTTTATGAGATGTTTTGAAAAACTGTTAGAGACCGCTATGTGATAAATTACATTAGGCTGATTAAAATAATTTCCTTTACTTAATGGGATTGTGAACAAACGATTAATGTAACAATAAAAAGCGGCTAATTTATGTTGCCACGGATCATGTGATGACGCGGGGATGACCGTGTCGGTATGAGTTGGCTTTCGATAAATTTGGTAAATATGTGACGACTCTTTTCTTGTTATTGTTAAGTCGAGAAAATTAAGGGAACAATCTAGTTATGTCGTCTACGTATCGATAGTAATATAAGATATTTTGATTGACAACTATATTTCGTTTTTCGAAATTATCCATCAAAATGTCCACCATACTCGTAAGGGGACTTAGAGGGGACCCCATAGCTAACCCTTCTTTTTTAGGTAGACGCGGTTATTAAACCGGAAATAGTTTTATTTCATACAGAGAGAGGTTAAGTTAAGAAGATCATTTGTTTCCCCGGGATATAGACGGATGTTTATCAAAGAAATCTGGGAGTATACGCAAACAGTCAGGGGATGGGACATTTGTGAAAAGACTATCAACGTCTAAAGATAACAATATAGATTTAAGAGGAATACGAATATATTTAATTTTAGAAATTAGATCTAAACTATTTTTTAGGCTGTGAGTGGGGTTGAATCCACATTTCTCTCGAAGGAGGAAGTTTAATTTTTTAGCAAGGGAATAAGCTGGTGCACCTATATATGAGACAACTGGACGAAAAGGAACTGTGTTCTTTATGTATTTTTGGTAACCCATGTAAAATTGGTGCAGTTGTGATTGGGAAAACATATGATGACTGTTGTATACTTATATGTAGCATAATATCCGAAATAAACTTTTTGGTTGGGTCAGACTCCAATAGCTTAAAGTCATTACCTTGGGTAACATCGTTAACCTCCTGGCTGTACCCACTATTCTCCATAATTACAACAGTATTGCCCTTATCGGCTTTAGTAACAATAAGGTCATTTTCTTTTATTCTCTGCATTAGTGACTTAAAAACAGGAAACTCAAGATTGAAATGGGAAGACGCGGGCACAGCCCGAATTTCATTAGCTGCCAAACTTTTAACGATGTTATCTTTCTTCGCGATCACAACGTCAATGTCCCCTTCAACGGCTATAGTCTCCAACGATATTTGGGAGAGAAAATGTTAAATTATACATTAGGCCTTTATGTAAAAGGGACAACTTATCCGTTGGAAACTGGACATCGGAAAAATTCTTAACTCGGGGATAAAATTGGTGGTATTCTATATGTGTGTCGTTATTACGATTACGGGATGAAAAGGATACAAGTCTTTGTAATTTACGGGACTGAATTTGATATTTTTCGTAAACAGCCATTGAAGCAAATTCCCTGGCTTTCCCGTCCAAAATATCAAATTCAATATTATGTAATTTATATGATTATTCAGAATATGATACTTTACGGTCGATTTTTAAATTATCTTTGTTGGAAAACCTATGAAGACACTCCTCATTAAGCCAAATGTTCTGAGCTTTAGAAATAGCAATATGGGCCGCTCGACTATTGGTGCCTCAACGTATTTGAATATAATTGGGAAAAACATAAAGTTGTTTGCACTGCTGATTGAACCAAATATTTTGGGCAGCCATACGATGGAGTTTTGTTAATTTGACATAGAGTCTTGCCTGGTCGGCCGTGCTGGCCTTTTTAAGAGAATTAATAGAATCAGGCGTTACTTTGCGGAAATCCATTATATTAAAGTTGGTAAAAATTACCTTGCGTACATCTGCTCGATATAATAAAATGATGTCTTACCTAGTTTGAAGAGCACCCCCCCCCCTATCTTTAAGTCTGCTCTCTAATAACAGACAGCCTCGCAATATGGTAGTTCGTCAACCTCACGGTGACCGGCGATTGGTTGCGTGGTTGGAGGGTTGGCGGGAGGTGATCTTCAAACTAGGTAAGACACATAATTTTATTTTATCGAGAGGATATACGCAAGGTAATTTTTACCAACTTTAATATAATGGATTTCCGCAAAGTAACGCCTGATACTATTAAATTATGTAACGTTAAGGTCTTATGTACGCTATTTGTCGTCCTCCTTGATATATCAGCTACTATGTTATATAATACTGTAATTTAATATATCTGTTACAGGTTCAGTTTGTTTGTATAATCATTCAGTACGTCGCAACGGTGAAACGCTCCGAATGTCCACCAGCGAAAGGCGTCGCAACGTTCATCGCCTGTAACACTGGTTTCATTCTAATTCTTTTTCTGAATTTTTACCGCCATAGTTACAAGCGGAAATCACATGAAACCAGCAAAAACAACGGATTAGCGATTAAAGAAGTCGGTAGAAGAAATTACCAGTGATAGCATTATATAATAACAATATAAAACGATTGTATCAAATCTCACATTCTTAGGCTCACGCTACGTAAGCGGTTTCAAACCATTACGTCATTCTGCTGCCACCTATCAAGAGATAGTATTAAACATCCTTGATTTTTTCTTTTATATAAAAATTTAACGGCGTTTTTTAAGAAAAATAGTTATAAAACTATTTATAGAGATTGGCCAATAAAAGAGTGTCACAACATGCTAAATAACACTTATGAAGCAAAGTAAGATGGAGCTTTTCCTAGAGGGGTAGGTAGACAGAGACTACGGACTTTTTTTTGGCACGATCCCGAAACACCTATCTTGATTCTTTTACATCTATATTTAAGATATATAGATTACAGGAGTTCCTGATTTGACATCTAAATTATTTTGGCTAATTCGGTGGATACATATTCATATTGGGTGACCCTTCCCGACTCTGCCACTCTTTTTTGCAGCATTCATTTGCTTTGTTACTCCAAACCACTAACAAATTTCTTTCCTAAACTAGGTCACAACGTTATTATCACCAATAATCACTGATAAATGACTTTTTAATTGCCTATTTCGTCAGCATTAATTTTACTCTTATGTTTCTTGTGCCTCACCCAAATTTCACTACTATAGGTACAATAAAGTAAGGACTAACACGGCATTACTTATTATTAAACGATCGTATTTTAATACAGTCTTTCTTCCCATACTGGAGTGAAGGACGTCATTCACTTTGTGTCTTGCATTCCCTCTTCGTTCTATATCCTTGTCATGTCCACCATTCCTGCTAAACACACCTACATACTAAATACACAAAGTCATCCACTTGATTAACCAACTACCTTTTTAATATAATTAATAGAATCAGGCGTTACTTTGCGGAAATCCATTATATAAAAGCTTTTAGAAAAATTAGCGGTTAGCCACCGTAGAGCCTATATCACCTGAAGATGCCTCGTGTAGAGGCGAAACACGTGTCGTATTATCGTCAGTGGTGTGTCTTGCCTAGTGTAGTGGTGTTGGGAGTAGCGGTGCTGGAATTAGTGGTGACGGGGATAGTGCACGCAATTGAGGGAGGGCGGGAGGTGCTCTTCATACTAGGTAAGACACATCATTTTATTTTATAACGCGGATATTTGCGAAGTAATTTTTTCTAAAAGCTTTTAACCAACTACCTTCTAATCTTATTTTACACATCTTTTACTTTTTCAACAAACTTCAAAAAGGTTCTCAATTCGTCGGAATCTTTTTTATATATGTTCAACGATTACTCGAAGACGCCTAAATCGATTTGGAAAATTATTTTTACTTTTCAAAGGGTATACAACGCAGGTTTTTAAAAGCGCGATCCCAAGCGTTTTTTTTTTAAATCAACAATAAAATATACTCATATTAAAGTCGGCTACAAAATTTTAAATTTACAACTTGCACTCTTGTAAAAACTATCACTTTCATCTTACTTGCGGTGAAATTAAAGTTAGTAAAAATTACTTTGCGTACATCCGTTTGATAACATAATATGATCCCAGCTACACTACGGAAGACACCCCACTGACAACAATATGACACGTGTTTCGCCTCTACACGAGGCATCTTCAGGTGATGTAGAATCTGCGATGAGTGACCGCTAAGTAAGCGGCAATCCAAAACAGCTGCTGTTTATATAACACGCTGACGCCACCGCTCCCCACTTAAGAGAAGCGAGTGACTGCGTCATACGATAAAACATGCGACCAATCACCAACTGACGTACGGAGCCGCTTGTAAAATTAATAACAAACCACCGCGAAAACGCCCGCATACCCTCAAACCACGCATCCAATCACCGATCACCGTGATGGTGACGATCGACTTTATTGCGACGTTATCGGTTATTAGAGAGTAGGCTTAAAGATATTTAAGAGAGGTTAGTTGGAAACATATGTTTGTTCATTCAGCAGTGTAACGTTATTATTATATTGTTTTTAATATCTATAACTGTTCCAGCACAAGCAGTCGCAGCCCTTTATTATGCATATGTAAGACTTTAAAGAAGTAGTCGTTGGCTAGATTGTGTCCAGTGTCCATGAGATGTTTAGCATAATGGGATTAATCGGGAATGCAATTCCTGTACGCGGCTAAATGCTCTTTATCGTTATAATGAAAACACGTTTGTTTTGTAGTTGCGACCAGTCTGACCTACTAAACGGCGTGGCATTCATCACAAACAAGTTTGAAAACACCCAATTTTTGACGAATATACAACTTATATTTATTATTACAGATATCTGATCTGTAATAGTAAACATGTTTGTGATGAATACCACGCCGTTTACGTGAGTCAGACTGGTCGTAATTCCAAGTGTTGGGAGTAGTGATGCTGCGTTTGGTGGTGACGGGGATAGTGCATGCAATTAAGGGAGGACGGGACCAAACAAAGTAAGACACATCATTTTGTTTTATTGAGCGGATGAACGCAAAGCAATTTTTACCAAATTTAATATAATGGGTTTCCGCAAAATAACGCCTGATTCTATTAATATTCTTAAAAAGGCTAGCACGGATGACCAGACTTCCACTATCCTTATTTATATATCCATTATCAAATGTTTCTAATACGTATATAAAATGTTATTTCGCACGACTCTGAATTGATTAGGTGTACGTCGTAAGTAATATTATATATATATATATATATATATATATATATATATATATATATATATATATATATATATATATTACTAAGTACAGATGAAACAATAAATAGAGATGAAAATTACCTATTTATTTAGATATATGTAACAAATTTAAAGAATGGCTTCACTTTTGCACATACTTAAATCGTATTTTAGACAATTGTTTGTATCAGGATGAATTTTATTTCACTAAGATTATCATGTTTAAGAAGAAATAAACAAGATTATTGTTTACGTATGAATTAGCAACACCAATCCTTTGGCTTATGTATATAACTTCAAAAATCCATTATTATTCTAAGTCGTTATAAATGCACTTATGAATTACTATTTTTACTATTTTTTTAATATAACGTGTATGGTAAGATGGACAAAGCAGCGCACAGTTCCAGATAGAAACACACAGTGGCTCAAACTCACAGCATATACTCATCACATTTTTTAATTGTTGTATTATTTATTTTGTTCAAAACAAAAGATTTTCTATAATTAAAGGTCAGCAATATTATATAGCTATCACACGCTGTATTCTGTGAGCATAGCTCTTCACGGATCGAGTAGAGTCCAAAGAGAATAATAAACAGATTATGCAGTATAATACAGGAAATCGAATCGAAACAAATGCAGTGCAACTCTACCTCGTATAAATTTAGGGATATTAGGCGGCTCACATTTAAGCATTTAAAGTGATTTGACATTGATTACGTTCTAGATGTAGTTCCTTAATTATGTTTTTACCGTTTCCGTTACAGCCTGTAAAATTTCCGCTGTTGAACACAGATCTCACTCATAGTAGTCTCATAGGGGGGATATTTACCATAATTGTCACAGTTGTTAAGGTACTAATTATTGTTATGTATTGTGCAATATTTTTAATTAAATTGTATTAAGTTAGATATTAAATTGTACGTGACAACTTGTAAAAATTTGCCTGCTTTATATAAGCATACAGCAGACTATGTAAGCTTTAAGATTTGTAACATCCTCAAACCAATTTTTAAGCATATACAGCTTATCATACATATTGTGTACATTAATTTAGATTTAGTAAATGGATACAATAATAATTAATGAAAGATCTAGAGATACCTAACTATTAAGTAAAAATTCTGATATAGGTATAATTTAAAAAACCAAGAATTCTGAGGACTTATTTGCCATTCAATAAGGGTAACATAAAGGCTGCAAGTTGATATCAATTTTATTAGATTCAAATTAAGAAACTTTTTGTACATAATATAAATAAAGCTACTAGTATATGTGGTCGAAATTCGACTAATTGTGTGAAAACAATGCTAAGTATTTGTTTGCATAACTTTTATTTTGCAATATTTTTCCATGCAAAGGGACCTTAGCGCATACTGCCACAAACGTGATGTTTTAATGTTTTAATTTCATTGGGTTGAGCGTTTTGTATGGAGTAATAATGTGCGAATGTTTATTTTATTTTTCGTGCCTTTACCGCACCATAGACACATAATTTTGTTTTTCGTGCACAACTATGGCACAAGTACCTTTTGGATAATATAAGTTTCAAGCTCCTTTCATAATAATAATGTACTTAAAAATTTGAAATTCACGTAATAATAATCTTAATAAATATTGTTAATAGAAATTGTGCTTTTTACTATTGCTTCAATAATTTTAAAATGTATACAATTGTCATACAATTCAAAAATAAAGTAAGTACCTACATATAATAATGATTTAAAATATTTTAATAGCAAAAGGTGTCATGTTTTTCGGGCTCGAACCGGGGTGGTACCACGACCTCACAGAATACCAGCGTGAATTAGAGGTTTACCTCTGCGTTTCGCTTGGTGAGTGCAGGTGGCCGGAGGCCCTTTTTCCTGGAAATGAGGCATTCCATCTTAGCTCTCACGGGTGACAACGCATCTGCATTTTGATTCGCAAACGAGGATAGATGTAGATGTCTATGGGCCGCAGCAACCACTTATCATCAGGTGGACTGTGTGCTCGTTTGTCACCCTTATCCTATAAAAAAAAATGTTTTACATTAATATACAAATTACATAGTAGTATTAAAAGTGAAATAAACATGTGATTATTTATGAGCAATAAAAGTATGGAACGAATTGTTATTTTCATTTAACTCTTGAACGGTCAAGGGCAAATGTAGATGCCATTATAATGTATACATAATGTAAGTAACTTTAACATGTCACCAGCTTATATTGTAAACACTTCCAAAGACACAAAGTGACATAACAACTTGGTGGTGCAGAAAATAACGTCCAATATTATTTTTATGAACTCTATATCACAATGACGTCAAAGACGGAGGTGTATTATTCAAAT